TTTTTAATTCGTATAACTACTAAATATTGCTCATGGGTCCTCTTTTTTGTAATAACAGGGTGGTAAGCTTCAGGGGACTGTACAGGGTTCCCTGAGGATAAGAGATCAACTAGCGGATGGTGGAATGCATGTCATACGAAATTTTGGTGTTGGCCTTAATTCTACAAAATTTAAGCCAACGCAATATAAGTACATGCTTACTTTTTATCTAAGAACTATTGTGACGCCAAGTGTCGATGCCAACCTTCCTATCAATGGTTTTTTATTCATGGAATCCAATGATGTTGAAAAGTATCCTAATGACATTGTGTGTTTAATAGGGGTGTTCATCAACTGATCCAAACCGATTCAAACCGCGGTAACCGAACCGAAAACTGATAACCGAATAAATAGAAAACCGAAAACCGAAAAAAAACCGCAAATTTTAATTGGATTGGATCTATTTTCGGATGAGTTGATGAAAACCGATTCAATCCAAACCAATCCAATATATTAATTTCCCTTTACCTACTTGGGTCTTTCCCTGATCATAGTCCAAAAATTTCTAAACCCAAAACCCATTAATTTATCAACTAAACCCAAGAAAAAACCTAGTCACATCTCATCAACAAAATTTTATCTGTGTAGAGCTTCATATCTCATTGCCCAAAAAAAATCTATATTATCGTTCATTGTTGTACTTGTATTTAAAAAAAAATTCACAAAGCCTATTATACAAAAGATGTTATTTGCATAATAAGTATGAAACAAATTTTAGGATTTTCAAAAAACCGAAAACTGATCCAATCCAAACCGAAAAAAATTGGATCGGATCGGATTTGAAAAAAACTCCAAACCGAAGGGATTGGATCGGATGACTTTTGCTTCCAAAACCGATCTAATCTAGACCGCGAACACCCCTAGTGTTTAATAGGTAACGTCCTCTTCTATTTCTTCAACACATTATTAGTCATCTATGACAACTAACGAAAATTAATGTTTGCAGATGTTATTGAATTTCTATGAGGAATCAATGATTCCAAGGAACACATGGTATCTGGAAAGAGGACGAAGATGATAGTCATAGAGCTGGATAATCTCAGGTGTTTTTGATATTTATAGGGATGGGATAATATCAACGTTGCTGTATTTATAAATTTATACGTTGAACTGCTTATGTTCTTTGTATCTTAAGGGGTACAAGACTTGAATGTTGTTTATGGGAGAGCTACGCAAAAGAGGATATTAAATATCATAATGAAAATTCAACCAATCCGACGGTCATCATCATTCAGTTTGCTCGAGTGAAAAAAATTATGGGTGGGAAGGTTGTTGTTCTTGGAGGTGATTTCAGACAGATCTTGCTCGTTATTACTTATGGAGAAAGGCAAGAAATTGTACATGCAACAATCAATTCTTCAAATCTATGGCAATATTGTCAGATGTTGACCTTGATAAAAAAAAACTTGCGACTCCGTTCACAAGATTCTAATAATGATGTCATGGAGATTAAAATGTTCTCTGAATGGCTTCTTGATGTTGGTGACGACAATGTTGGTGACAATGTTGATGGATTCTCTATCATAAAATCCCAGATGAAATCTTGTCCAATGATTCCAATGATCTGCTATTAAATTTAGTAGAATTTGGTATCCAAATCTTTCGAAAAATATGGATAATACGTCTTTCTTCCAAGAACGTGCTATCTTAGCACTAACATTATCGGATGTATGCATGTTAAATGAGTGCTTAATGTCAATAATTTCAAGTGAAGAGAAGGTTTATCTTGGTTCAAATAATATCCGTTATTAAGCATTTCCTACAGAAATACTTAACACTTTTTCTGGAAATGATCTTCCTAACCATAAAATGACGTTCAAAAAAGGGAGTGTCTATCATGCTTTTGAGGAATATAGATCAATCAAGAGGGTTGTGCAATGGGACAAGATTGCTTATTACAAAAATAGGTTAACATGTTGTTGAAGGAAAAATACTTTCAGGCAATAACATAGGTGATATCGTGTTAATTCCAAAGATGAGTTTGAGTCCTTCTAATTACACCTTCCCTGTAAAGTTTGAACACAGACAATTTCATTGGTTGTTTGCATTGCCATGACAATAAACAAGAGTCAAGGTCAGCCTTTATCTCATGTAAGAATTTATCTTCCTAAACCAACTTTTACTAATGGTCAATTGTATGTTCTCTCTACAAAGTAAAAAGGGATTAAAGCTTCTCGTAGGTGACGATCATTGCACAGTTGCCAATACTACAACAAACATTGTGTTTAAAGAAACTTTTCAAAGGTTGAAATAAGTTAATTTGTTTTATTTATTGAACTATTTTACATTAATTTATAGAGTTTGCTATTTCACTATAATACGTAATGTACATGTAATTTTATTGTTTATTTAGTTCTATTTTATGCTTTTTACTTACCATCGTCCCATGCGAAGGCATAGTTCATAGAATAGTTTTCCACTAAAAAGTAAAAACCAAAACATGGGAACTAATTGACTTAAAAAAGAGAGTTAAGAGAGGTTATTTAATAAAGTATGAAACTAAATGTGATAAATTGTAATTTGAAAGAGTGTTTCCTATAATATGTGATACTATATGACATTATAATGTTTTTCCTTTTTAGTATAATTCAATCCAACATAATTAGAGGTGTAAATGAGTCGAGCGACTTATTGAAATTACATCAATTTTGACATTCCAATTCTCAATCCGAACGTATGTGAGTTTTGAAAAAATACATTTTATATTTATAAATGAATCAAGTCAAGCCTTTAATTTTTCATAAACAAGACAAGTCAAGCCTAAAATTTAGCTCGTATCAAGCCAATGGGTCAAGCCAAGCTCAAAATATTTTTTATAGACTTAGCTCGTTTAAGCTAAAGCTTGGCTCGACCCAACATATCTAAATTACACTTTAAATATATATTATGTAATTATATAATGGTTTAGCAATTATAAGATTCCATATTTATATCATAAATTATAACTCAACCTGCATTCTCACTGCATTTGGTGTATATAGGAGTGTAAATGGGCCAGACGATCTATTTGGGCCCTATGTCCCAGCCTATATCAAGTCAGACTTAACCTATTATATCTAGTAAAATAGAACAAACTTAAACCTTTAAAAAAACCTTATTAGAAGGCAGGTAATATGATTTCTTTTACAAGGCTCGGTATATAAGCCTACAGATTAGCCTGTATTATATTATTTATTTTAAATAAAATAAATAAAAGTGCTATTCTAATAATTTTAAATAATAAAATATTATTATTTTAAATATTGAATTCCTAATAAACCTAAACGGACTAAGAGGCATAGATCAAACTTTTTATTTTTTAAAAACAAGTCCTTTTACACTTGTAATTTGTACTTACATAGAGCTAGCACAATAGGCTAGACGTAAAATATTTTATATAAGTATAACATTTTTAAATAAAAAATGGGCAAAAAAATTAAAATAGTTTTTTATTAAATAATTATCAATAAGTTGCTGTTTTGAATCTAATTACGAATATACTGCACTCATTCACGTCAAAATTGGGCGTGACCATTCACGCCTAAGTTAGGCGTGACTCACAAGGCATTCACGCCTCTGGTGTTGACACGTGGCACAAAAAATTAACAGTTTAACCTTAAAACTTCAGAAGGCCATAACTTTTGACTCAGGTATCCGAATCATGTAATTTTTTTTGTTCCACTTAACTTTTCGATATCTTCGCAATGACATCTCATTTGACATATTTTATCTCTCACAAACACAGTTCAAATTTGCAACAATGGTACTATAAAGATGGCACCAAAGTGGATTAGTCCATCTATAAATAAGGATACTTGATGTCATATTAAAATATATACTTTCTACCAAGTGTTTGCAAAAAAATAGTGCACAAGATTTTTGAATCGCAATACGTATCGTATATCGTTTGGCCGATTTTTTGTATCGTAAATCATATCGAATCGTAAGATACAGAAATATAATAAAAAATAATTTAAAAATATTTAACTTTTTATGACTTTTATCGAACCGTATTGTAAATTACATCCTTCTGTTTTATGACTTTTTTCTTTAAAGCCATTTAAATTATGTATGACTAAGAGAAAGAAAAAATAAATAAATTTAAAAGAAAAATAAAAAAGGGAATAATGAGTATAAGAAAAGAAAACTAAACCTGAACTCTAAAGTTTGAAAACGTCTCTGATACGAAACAATGGCTGAGTCTTTATGGCTGGATTCGTTGGAAGCTTATAGCATCTGAATGGTTGTCAAAAATAAAATCCTTCTTCCTTATAAATTTAGAATATTATTCAATTAAATACAGATTTTTCAAATTGATTTTTAAGTTTAAATCACAAATCAAATCTTTATTTTGTTTTCTTTATTAATAATAATTTTTTAGATTTTTTTAAATTTAAATCACAAACCAAATATTTATTAATTTTTAATATTAAAAATTAAAAAAAAAATAATATAAATCACAAATCAAATCTTTATTTATTTTTTTATATTAAATCACAAACCCAGAACTCGAAGGCTTCTGTGTTTAAATGCACTTATAATATAATCTTTGCAAATTTAAACTGTGTTTGTGAGAGATAACATATATTAAATAAGTTGTTATTGCGTAAATCTTGAAAAGTTTGGTGGAATTGTTAAAAATTCATGTGATTTTTTAAACTCTTATAAATCTATATTGCCCTTTCAAGTCTTATAAATTCTGTTAAAATCTTTTAAAATTCAATCTTATGAAACCTTGATGATAAAAAAAGTCTTTTAACAAAAGTCTTTAAAATCCCTCCAATTCTAAATAGTCTTTTAAAATCTATAAAAAAAAATATCTCAAAAAAATCTTTTAAAATTCTAATCCAATATACTCCTTCAATTTACAACTCTAACCCCGTCCGTACCATATTTGGTGTATAAATATCATACCCATTCGGGAGAAACCAAAATCCTTATTTTCGTGTGAAAAAAAAAAAAAAAAAAGTTAAAGAAGGAGCATGGAGAGGAAGCTGCTTCACTGGGATGTGATTCAGGAAATTCTGTTGAGATTACCTGTGAAATCTCTCATTCGTTTCAAGTGTGTGTGCAAATCATGGCATTCTCTCATCTCTGACCCTCACTTTGCAAAATCTCATTACGAGCTATCTGCCGCACCCTCCCTCAAGTTTCTACGTATAGCGTGTTCTGGTTTCGAAGCTCTATCCATCGATGTTTATGCACCGCTTAACGTTGGAAGGCTCATTCCACCACTCCTACCTCCAAATCCAGATAAAGATGTTTATATTTGTGGCTTCTGCAGAGGGTTTGTCCTTATAGAAAGATACCCAAACTTTTGTATTTGGAACCCATCAACTGGTTCCCACAGAGAGCTATCGTGCCCTGAGATTTGGAAAGAAGAGCATCAATTTGTGACGATCCGCCTAGCTGGTTTCGGGTATGACCCATCTACTGATGATTATTTGGTAGCTGTGCTTTTTGACTCAGCCTTTGATGATGAAATTTATACGGTAAAACGTTTGATGCTTTTCTCTTTGAGAACCAATATATGGAAAGAAATTCAGGGCTCTCATCTTCCCGACTTGAGTGTTTATCAATATCAATCATTTTTCTTTAATGACGTTGTTCATTGGTTGGCTTGCCGTGATGAACCGTTCCATTGTGTAATTCTTGCCTTTGATTTGGAGAAAAAGAATTTTTATGAGATATCTCTGCCACATCTTGACGTCAACCATTCCTTTTCTTACAGTGAGTTGGGAACTATGGGAGAATGTCTCTGTTTTTGTTGTCATTTTGGCGATGATACTAAAACTCAGGTGTGGATTATGAAAGAATATAAAGTGCAGTCATCTTGGACTATGCTTGAGATTCCTACGCACCTTTCCGTTGTATGCATGGCAAAAGGTGGTGAACTTATTGCATTACGTTTTGATGATACAGAATTGTTGAAATTTAATGACAAAGGTCAACTGCTGGAACGTTGCATGTTTGATTTTCGGTGTTGGAATTGGGTGTTGGAATTTGGTTTTGGTATGTATACGGACAGTCTACTTTCACTCCCCAGGGATTGTGATGGAAACACACCGTCAACAGAAATAGACCAGGAGAATCGGAATGTCTAAATTGATGTAATTTCAGCAATTTATTTGCAAACTTCATAGCTTAATTATGGAAACAGGGTTTGTTTTACTTGTTCTTATTATTGATTTTATTTTCAAGGGCTTGCTTGTCAAGTTATAGTAGGATCATGTTTTCTTCAACATAACTTTTGTTCTATTGTAGCATGGTATGTTTATTGTTTATTTACTTATGCTCTCCAATTTATCAGTTGATTGCTTGGCAGTATCATAGCACGCGAAAAGAAATATGTGGTCTGAGAGAAGAAAGAAATGAAATTTTTGAATACTAGATCCCACTAATATCTTCTGATTGAAGAAAGTTAAAATGAAGAGGACAATGACAAGTAGACTTTTTAATTATTTATTTGTTTATTGTTTTATTATTTTTTGATAAATTTTTGACAAGTAGAACCCAAATAAATGATCACACACTTCATATGCTTCTGACAAAATTCTAGAACCGGTGCATAAAGAAGTAGGCAAAACCGCATAATGATATAAGTACAAAGGTTGATATGTAGTTAGACAGAAGTACTCTTAGATGACAAAATTGCTTCTGTTTATAAAAAGAGACATCATATTTTACATTGTCACATTATATATCTGTATGCCACTTACTATTTAAGCTAAACAGGTTATTCACTTCCATGTCACTCAAAAGAAACTTAGAAAGTTAATCTGAATTACACTGTACTCAATCAGTTTTGTTGCTATATATTTTAGGAGCATATGCAGGAGTTACTTAAGAAGGAGCAGTAGATCTTGTAGTCAACTAGAAAGTATCTGTACTAGTTATTTCTTTTAGTGATGAGTTGTTTCTGTTCTTAGCTTTCTCCTGTAATTTGCTGCAGTTTTTCTGTTTTTTCATGAGCTAGACTCCATCCCTTTTAATTGATAGAAGAATTTGCTTCATCATTTTGAATAAGATAATCAATACATCATAAACCAGTATCAGATTGATTAGATTGCAATATCAATGTACTAGTAGGTCCTTATTAAACCATTTGAAGCTGCAGGTCCTATCTAGTTTTTACAACATTTTGTTGCATGTTTGATAAGTTAGCATGAACTAGTTTCGCAAGCACATAATTTTGGGGGAAACATATTTCTCTAAAAGCATGCGGAAACAGATTTCTCTAAAACATGCATATTATCTACTTATTTTGGTTGGCATTCATCCAAAATTGAGGGTGGGTTTTTATGAAAAGACGGGTATGCTACTGTTGACACATTCATCTTATTTAGCTCCCAAAAAAAAACCCGTATTCTTACGTCTCTAAAAAGGATATGCCACGACCTTAATCTATTTCTTGTGTTGTTTGTTTGTTTGTTTTGTGGAATGAGAGCAGTAACAGATCGAATAGGAAATTATATGTGATTATTTTGTTGTTCCTTATATCATTTATGGGAAAAAGGTGTGTCATTTTTTTATTTTTTTTTATAACATAAAGGTGTGTCATTTTAAATGACACACCTTATATCCTTTCACTCTCATAAAGAGGTGAGACCCACACATTTAAAAAAAAATTCACTCATTCTCTCTCTCATAATTTATCTCTTTTTCTCACTTAAAATGACACAACTTTATATCCTTCAAAATGATACACACTTTTTCCATTATTTATATACTCTAATTTATTTATTTTTAATGTACTAACATCGAAAACCGCGGTGGGTCTCACTTTTTTGTGTCAATTGGAGACAATATTGTTCTCCTATAACAGAAGAAAAGTAAGCCCCTTATTCTAAAATAACATAGTTTTGGAGTTTGAACGGAAAAATAATAAGGATATTTTTGGAATTTTAACGTTATGAATACTTTGTTTAGACATTTAAATTTGTGACTAATGTGTACCCTGTATCGTATCCATCTGCATTATTTGTATAAAGACCATGAACCAATCTATTCCAGGAATGTTGTATGGCTGGAAGTCTAGCTATAGTTTCTATTTGGGAATTAAGTGAAATAACAAAGTAATTAGTCTGGTCAGCAACCATTTGAATTTTTGGATGCACATTAGATTTCATCCAGCAAATGCTAATCCTAATTTCCTTGAACTACCCTTGTCTTGCTGAAAAAATAATAGCCAATTCATCCTTGCAGTTCTATTTTCTCCTAGTTATCTTCCAACCATATTAAGTAAGGCTATGTAAAATAGTTTTTTTGAGACGATTACAAATTCGAATCTGGAAAATATTTTTTTTACAAATATATAAGGTTTTCTTTACTTATGAAGCACCGACACTTCAAAAATCTTAAAGTGTCGTGTCCGACACTTCCCGACACTCCCCGAAACTCCAACACGTGTTATAGAAATTCAAAAAAAGTTCAAAGGTTGCGTTGCGTTGAGTTTTTAGTTCCAACTATTAGATTCGTTAGATTACGATTACCATTTAATATAAATATCTGGGATATCTTATGTTTCTTTGCAAAATTGATGAATATTTTAAGTTTAGTTTCATTTTTTTATTAAATTATTAAATATTAAATATAATATACACTACATAAATTAAAAATATTATTTAATATCAAAACATTTTCTAACGTGTCGAAATCTGTCAGAGTGTCGTGTCGTATCGTGTCATGTGTCCCGTGTCGGTATCGGTGCTACATAAATCCTTACTAGTCGGAATTCAACGGATAGTAGTTTTTTTATATAAAAAAAAAAAAAACTACCAACCATATTACTATATGCAAAAGATTAAATATCGAATTTCTTTAAGAATGGCACACGAACGAACAAGTAATTAAAAATGACAATTAAACTACCATTGTACATGAAAACAATCATCTCAACACTTTAATCTGAAACAATCATAAGAACAGGCACATCATACAACAAATTGATGCATAAAAACAATGGACAAAGAAGGACAATCTATAGCAAGAGATAAAACAGAAGAGAATGAAAGCTGGTGATGAAGGATAACTTTTCAGTAATCTTCAACTTCTTCTTCTACACCTTCTTCACCAACTTCTTCATAGTCCTTTTCTAGAGCAGCAAGATCCTCCCTGGCTTCCGAGAATTCACCTTCTTCCATTCCTTCACTCACATACCAGTGCACAAATGCTCTCTTGGCATACATGAGATCAAACTTGTGGTCAATGCGAGAGAAAACCTCAGCTACAGCAGTGTTGTTGCTTATCATACAAACAGCCCTCTTCACCTCGGCTAGATCACCTCCTGGTACCACTGTTGGAGGCTGGTAGTTGATACCACACTTGAAACCAGTAGGGCACCTGAAATTAGTCATCAAAATCATTTGATCAGAGATTTTGTGAAAGAGAAATGGAACTCCAAAGATTATGTGACCCCAGAGAATAGGATTCACAAAATAGTCAATTCAGGTCTTTATATCTAATAATTAGCACCTTAATATTGAACATGGCCTTAAAAAGTTTTTTTATTTTTTTAGATTTCTCCCCTGATTTATCAATCAATCAACTAATCTAGTTGAGTCAGGCAAGACCACAAGGGTGACAAAACTCTCCCTATCAAGTTTTTAATATAGCTGTGTATGCAAGACTTGAACACGAGATCACCGGTTAAGCTGGAATAACCCTGTACCAATTGATCCACGTGTTTGGTGGTAAAAATAATTTTCTTTACTATCTATAGTTTATCACTCTTTCTACTATTAAACTTAACTTAAATCTTTTCATTTTTTCCATACAAGATTCAGACCAAAGACTTAACAGCACCATACCAACATGTACCCTACTCATCGACGAACCTGATATTTTTAACGAAAAAAGAGACCCAAAATTTGGACCTTTTGTTCCTAAATTCTGTCAAGAAGTTTTCAGTCAATACTCCAACTAGAGCAGTTATAAGATTTAACACATCACATAAACAGGTCTAAGTCATAATCAAACAACAGTCTTTACCACATAAGATTGTCATGCAAAAAAGCATAATTAAGTATTTTGACAGTTCAAGGCTTAATTTCTTGGTAACTGTATTCATCATTTTGTATCTTGATCTTCACACAGTCAAACAAAAGAGACACAAATATATAAGGAACAAGAAAACTGACAAAAGAATGTATATATATGCTAGTGATTAGATAGTTAAAATAACGACAGAAAGAACAGAATAAGCAAGAACAAGGACCATGTAATCTAAATTATATCTCATAACATGACATTCTTCAAGGGAAGTCTGAAATTACCAGTCAACAAACTGTACTGTTCGTTTTGTCTTGATATTTGAAACAGCAACATTTACATCTTTGGGCACAACATCTCCACGATACATCAAACAGCATGCCATGTATTTTCCATGTCTAGGATCACACTTAACCATCATACTTGATGGCTCAAAAACAGCTCTAGTGATCTCAGGCACTGATAACTGTTCATGGTAGGCCTTAACAGAAGATATCACAGGGGCATAAGATGAAAGCATGAAATGAATTCGAGGATATGGCACAAGGTTAGTTTGGAACTCTGAAATGTCCACATTGATTGCACCATCAAATCTCAATGAAGTGGTTAAGGAAGAGATAATTTGAGATATCAAGCGGTTCAAGTTAGTATAAGTTGGCCTTTCTATCTCTAATGATCTTCTGCAGATATCATATATTGCTTCATTGTCCAATAGCACAACTACATCACTGTGCTCAATAAGAGAATGATTGGAAAGAACAGTGTTATATGGTTCAACAACTGCAGTAGATACCTGCATGTTAATAACAACATTACCGTAAGGACATTCCACTTGGATAATCTGGCATATAATAATACAGATATGTAAACAATTCACAAGCCAAGCCCAGTGAAACATGAATTAATGATTAAAATGTAGAGCAAAACATTTGAACACATCCCTAGCAATGTTACATTATATCTTGGAATATACAATAATTACAATTCTTTTCTAGCATTGGGATATAAACATGTACCATTATTTATTACTAGAATTTTCTTCATAGAGGAACATTGGAATAAAAAAAGCAACCTAGTGCTATAAAACTCCCGCTATGCGTAGATCCAGAGAAGG